TCGACCAACGAATCTCTTCTTCATACACTTTCATACGAAATGAAGGTCCCTCTAACAATGTTATCTCAGGGGATTCATCGAAACCCAGTTTCTCTTCGTATCTACAGTATTTTTATTTGCAGAAGCGATTCTCTTGCTTTAAACATCAATCTTGTGGGAACTGTATTTTGGTAGCAAGCTACTCTAGCTGTATAGAAGTGGGTTAACTTCTCTTTTCGCAACTTCTTCGCCTACTGATTTATGTTTTGGTGAGCAGTTATATGATTACTTTGGGCGAAATGGTTGTCTATTGTGTTTCTCATTTTTATACTTCTTAATTTTTTCCTAAAACCATAGGTTTATTTTATTTTCATACTTTGTTTACTCTGTTCCATTACATCTTTATGTAAAATATATGGCTGGCGTTGGCTGGCATTTTTACGTTTGGCTCGTATGGGCTTGATTTTGCTGGGTTTTATCTACTTTTCAACCACACTCAATCAGAACTTCCACTCATCCCCATCAAAGTGCATCTGTATGATATCACCCATTTAAACGAGACTCATAAATTCAGATGTAATTGAGGAATGTGGAACAGAAAGAGCCGCTGAGCAGGAGGAGAAGATTTTAAAAAGCTGGAATCTATTTTTGGACTTAAAATTGCCAACCAACTTGTGGTTGGCGCATCCTCGAAGCCCTAACAAGACCTAGAATTAAAGGATCATGCGCTAGTTTATTTACATGGACATCCGCTCCTCTTCCTGCATCACCTTAACCCGCTTATATGCATGTACGACGAGCATAAAACAGTCAACCAAATCATGGAATGTCTCCGTAAGATCGTCACCTTTCATGGTTTTTTGTTTTTGGTGGTTGGTCGTGAATAATGGTTTTTTGGCTTTGACGATGTCCGTCACATGACGGACTAAAGCTCAGCACAGAGTCATCGGGGTCGTAAGTTTGTGAGCCGAGGTCTTCTTCGCACAATTCAATAGACAAAAGTCCAAGGCAACCCTCATTCGGTATCCGGTGAGGGCAATCTACGAAACCATTCCACCCGCCTTCTAAAATGGAATGAAAGGTATGCCGGTATAAATCACGTTTCCACACTTTTCAAATACGTACTCACACCCTTCTGCTGGAGATGGCCGAGTGGTAGATCGACATTCGATAGCAAATGATTTGAAGGCTTCAAATAGTAAAAATGATGCGAGTATGCCCTTAGATCGGGCTTCTGCCAAAGTCACCGACAGCTTCCTACCAAAAAATACATCGCTTAATACAGCATTCAGTTTAGTGGCAAACACTTTGTTGCTTATGCGTACAAAAATGAAATTTTTTCTTGTCGCAAGCTTGAATTTCGCATGGGTTGCTGATGAAAAGGCAAGGCAATTTTGAGGCTGCAGGCCATCCTGAATTTAGACGACCCAGGTGAAGATGGTCCCTACAGAATGGTCAAATGCATGCCTAGCATATTCAGTAATCAACCATCGACGCAATACATGATTAATAGAAAAGATAATTGCTGGGTCAATTTGGCTTGATTCTGCGCATGACAGCTGAAAATATCCTTTATTCCTCGTATGGTGAAAAGCATATCAATGCATTATGGAAGTCGGGCCAGCCGATTGAGGTCAGTGCATTTGAGTAGTATTATCAGTAGTATCAAAAATACATACGACACTAGTTTATCTGTGCATACCATTATAGTAAAAAATTGCTTATCCTGTTGAGTTTTTGAAAGCTCTGTGTCTTTAGAAAAAAATCTTCATGAGGCTGATAGTTAACTGTATGAAATCGCAATTTTTTTGGCCTTGACCCTCTTCAGCATCATCACAGGCCTTGTATTTCCTTCATTCTGGCCTTTTAATACATCAGCAACGAAGCGTCTTCAAATCTTGTCAACGAAACAACTTAGTTAATTAAAAGTTTTGATTGTTCGACCAAAATGTAGACAGATGGATGTGGAAAGTCATCTCGGGTGTCTGCTTCTGATGACGCAGGAGAAACGGGTCACAGTTCTTGTATGGTCTAATCAGTACTACTTTAATAAGAGCTTAGCCAGCCTAGGTCGCTTAAGGTGACCTAAGACTGATAGTTTAATTTTTCGTTAATTAGATGAGTAGGGCTAAGCAAGCCATTGAATTTTCTCCAAATAGGCCATCTTATCCTGGCTCGACTGGAATGTGGTTTCGACTTCACCTCACTGTCTCAATAACACACTCAACAGGTTTCGATACCAGGTCGTGTGTATAGTGACAACATTGCCACTCCACTCCACAGACACAGGGGCCAGTTTGTCACAGGCAAGTTGCGACATTCAAGTATAATTAAATTACATTTTTTCATCAGATTGCCGATTAAGCAAACATGCATGTGCAATTTCAGTCGATGATATTACTTATTTTTGGTATAAGTAGACTTCATTTTTCCCTGAACCAGCTTTTTGTACATATCTCGGTTGCTTCGGTCTAATTTGGCGCCAATCTCTCAGTGCAGTTGTAGCCTGATCGTCTGGGTCTCCTGAAGTGGAGCAGGTGAGTAGGTAGGAGTTCGAGGATGATGAGAGGCTACTACAGAAGCTGACTCGCCCGATCATTGTGTTTATGCGCTTATGTGCATGTGTATGTGTGTATGTATGTGTCCATATACATTTCTCCCTTCAGCCGACAAAAGAGCATGCGAGAAGAAACTTAAATCAAACCGACTAGTTTTTCTGATACAAAATGTCCTCCCTTCTCGAGTCGAGTCGGACGCTAATTTGGCAGCCTTTGTGCTTTCGTGCCTAACTGGGGCGCTTCGTGCAACATTGGACGGTTGCCTGTCTCACCAGACGGGCTGTGTCGGCTCTCACGATCCTTCAGAGGGAAAGGGGTCCCGACGAGCAGTCTGAACCGATGGGTCCACTGGCTCAGGGCCAGTTGAACCAGCCCAATCAAGGGTACTGGGTGCCGGAGGCGGCCTCTCGAACTGGGCCCGACGCTGCCGATTGGCGCACAATCTGGCCCGAGAGACGAATGATTTATTCACCCGCTAGGTCGCCCTACATGAGGCCAGCGCATTAATTGGCCGAACGGGCGTTGTCTCCGGGCTTGTCGGACAGGTCGAGATCCGATTGAGTCCACCCCCTCAGTTTCGTTAGCTTTAGCAACAGCCTCGAAGGACTGTGTGTGTATCTGGGGCCTTAATGTCAAAACGCCTCGAAATGTTGACTTGACCAAAGATCCCCTTGCCAGCCAGTTATCCCCCACGGACACCCGATTTTCAATGCTATCTCCACTAGCCCCACACTTACCTCCTCCACCCCAAAAACGATACTCTTCTCTCGTCTGTCTACCAACGAAACCGGAGCCCTGTTTTTCGACGATTAGCTCTACTTCTTCCAGTGACTTCTTCCACCTACCACTTTTCCCGCAATCTCTTACATCCTCAATGTCCCCGAAAAATTGGTTTGGCGAAAGTCACCGTACTTTTCTGTACATCTCTCTCGTTTTGTCCGATCGGTTGGAGGCAACCTGTCGCTTTATATACGTTTGCACACATGTTTTTAGATTTGTATTTAAGTAGGTACTTTAGTGTATATATATATATATATATAT